ACTTCAACTCCCAGAATTCTCCAGCCAGCATGGCTGGCTGGAGAATTCTGGGAGTTGAAGTCCACACATCTTAAAGTTGCCAAGGTTGAGAAACACTGTCTATAAAGGGAGCTTCTCAGTAGTTTTAATCAGTGATGTCATAAAAGTAAACAAAGCTTACATGGCACCGGCATCACCAGATCATGAATCCTACCAAATATGATGTTCTTATGTAATCCCATCAGGAAAGGCTGGTCGCCAGTCCTAAAGTTAATGATTAACATAAGCCTCCACTTGATTGTATTCACTTCTCATAACCCTAGGCCTTGACCTTATTGAAAACCTATATTTTTAAGAAACCCTATTTTGATTGCATTTGAAATAAGGCCTTAATAAAGTTTCATTTGTGATAAGTCTTAACATCAGCATCTTAAATGCAGGAACAAGAACTTTTCAAGCTACAGCCTGATTTTTTTTTTCCTTTTCTGAAAGTTAAGGACATACTTTTGCAAAGTTAACTGGAAACACACACAGAGACCCACAGATACACACACCCCTCCAATCCTCAGGCAAGCAATGAAAAATGAATATAGTGAGCAAACTCTATTTTAAGCCTTTCTGAAAATAAAACCTAGTAAAAATGTTAACTCCTGGGTGCAAAAGGTTTAAGTACAGGTGTACAACTCAGCAAAGACACACTCTCACAATGACTGCAGATGTGTGCAAAGCAGGTCCTGCAAGGGGATGAATGAAAAAAAAATGCTCAAGCTAATCTTGTTTGGCTGTCATAAGGGATGATGCAATTCTGGCAAAGCTGATGAGGAACAGAGGAAAATGGAGGCCATATGTAATACTGTACTGTGAAAGGGTGAATGGCCCTCCATTAGATCTCTGCAAAGGACCTCTGGGAGGCAAGAAATGGCTTTTTATTTCTTGTTCTGTAAATACCAGCAGCTGGATGTCACCATATAGGATTTGATTTTTCTTTTGGATTCTCTGAGTTTTGCACTGCCTAGAAAGGGAACTGTTTGAAGGACGATATGTCTATATTATTGTGATGACCCCTACTATCAAATCTGCTGGAAATTTTTCTGATCTGAAATGTGGCTGTGATTCCATTTATCAAAGAGGCCATACTATTTCCAGCATGATCGGGAGTGTAGTAATTCAAGCAAAGAGGTGATGGCGGCTCTGATTTGTGGGATGTGCTCAGGCCAGAAAGGGACGTCTACTGCAAAATGGTGGAAAATCATCAGCAGCAGGCTGATCTCACAGGAGTTTCAAAATTTTCCAAAGAAAAAGTTCATCTTATTGGTGATATACGTACTACCTAAATTTGTCTGGGCCATCTCTTTATCTGACAGGTATATCTTTATCTTCCACCTTTCAGAGTATCTTCCGAAGAAGGCACGCATCCCAAATATTACAAACAAGTAAAGAATTCTTAACTCCCTGAAGAAACTTTTAGAACATTACAATGTTCATCACTTCATCGCTCATAGTGGAACTAAGGCAACTGTCATCGAAAGCTTCAGCCATAACCATAAACTTTGGAGATGTTTTACAGCTAGAAATACCCACTGGTAGATGGACATTTTGGCCAATGATCTTCAGGGCTACAATAGCCCTTACCATCATAGCATGTGGGCCATCCCAACATGCTAAGCCCATCTATTTAAAGGGATGCGTTGGTAGGAACTATATGGGGGAATTTTAAAAGGCAAAAGGAAGAGAATGTTCTTAAGGTGGGGATCATGTCAGAATATCCAAAGTGAAGGAAAGAGTTGGGAAGGGCTACTGGCAAACCTAGATGGATAAAATATTCATCATGAAAGAAATGAAGAAAGGGGTGGGAGAGTCCCAAATGTCCCCAGTGACCAACAGCACATGTACAGAATTGAAAAAGTGCTCAGAAAAAGAGGGTAGGAATGATATAGACTAATTCTAGTAGAGATACAATATCCACACAGCTGGAAAGAGAATCATCAGATACACATTTTGAAATTATGAGGAAAAGGTGGATATTTTTCTTTGAGAAGCAGATATGACCCTAGCATCTGAGAACTGTTGGAAAACATGAGCAACCTTATTTTAGACCCCAAGGATGACCCAACAGTGACCCCACAGCACAATCTGATGGTTCGAAAAATTAATCTTAAAGGACCTGGAACACATGCCATCTAGCTAGTGAAGAATGTGGACATGCGTTAGGGTTGTTCCCTAGATACCATTTAAAAACATTCCTCTTGGCAGTGGACATTACCAGAGCTTTCAATCTATTATATATTTATGCAGACAGTGTACAGCATCAGAGAGCGGAGGAATTCTATGTGCTGTGACTGCACTGCGAACTGCAAGAATAAGACAACATTTTCATCATGGTAACTTATGACAAGCCCCATTATATCCTGGTGAGCAAACAGGACATCAATACCATTACTGTAGAAACCCAAACTGACTGGAACAAAAATATCTGTTTTTATCGTGGGAAGATGGTTGTTAATCTTCATTTTATGCAACAGAAAGGTGCATCAGAGAACACAGAAGCCTCCAAGGTTTCATGGCTTACTACAGGTCACAAGGTGGTAGTGGTCCCACAGATTTCTGAGGGAACCCCTGTCATGTACAGGTCAGGCCTAAGAAGATTATTCTATGGACTTTTTAGAAAAGCAATGGCTTTTCTGGAGAAACACCTAGAAATCATTAAGCTGCACATGAAATCTGCAGAGTATCATCAAAGACATGGCTGGCATCTCATGTCCTACATTGTTGAGAGGGGGGTCAGGATAGTTGGGTATGGCCATGGTCAGGAAGAATTATGCACTGTCTTAATGACCTTAAGGAAGAAGGTCATGAAAGCCCTCATCAAACGAAGAGGACATATTC